TTTGTGGAAAATTTATTTAAAAAAAGTCTAAATATTTGTTTGTTGTTAACTCATTTAATGCATTTACTAATTTTACCAAATTCCTATACATCCGTGTTATTTTGATGACTTCACTATTATTTTAAATTTGTTGTTTTCTGTATTATTACAGAATAATACAGAAAACATGTGTGCACTCTCAGAAAAAAAAAGGTTCAACTGGGGCAGTGCCCTTTCAAAATGTACACTTTTGTACCATATTTACCCCTAAAGTGTGCATATTCTGACACTATTGAAATGTGTGAATATATAAGAAAAAAAAAACATTTAATGACATCTCTGATTATTTTAATGTAATTTATTTTAAATGTTATTTCAATTTATTTAAATTACCAAGCTTTGTTAATATTGTTCATATATTATTATATACGGTATTATTCAGTTACGTTTATAATTAACAGAATTTATACATAGCAATGTTAATGTGCTGATAATGTTGTCTCTGGTGCTAGAGTTCATCGTATTTTATGTCATTGCAGCTTCCATACAAAGAATGGAAAATTAGTCTGCGCTGACCCAGAACAACATTGGACGCAGGACAGAGTTGAGTGCCTACGGTATGAGAACGTATCTTATCAATCACTAACATAAAATGCAGTCTTATCTCATATTATACCCTTAAGAAAATTAACTGATGGAAAAAAAATGTTCCCTGTGCCCTTTAGGATGAAGGCTGCGGAAGTGAAGACTGGTGGTTTTTAAAGCTTTAAGAATGCCAAAATGGAGAGGCTCTTCTGGAGATGTTTTTTTATTATTATTATTATTATTATTATTATTTTGGACTGTTTCCCTCTTTAATAAAGAGATCTTATATTCTATATATTGGCATCACTTAATTGCACTCTTGTACAGAGTATATATGGAGGGGAAATACAAGGTAACTTTACTATACTGTGGATTTTAAACCTCTTGTTTATATAATGCAAAATATTTTTTAGCTCTTTGTATTGAGCTGTTAACTCACTAATTCAGTTCACAATTTTTTTTTTTACTAATTCAGATACTATTTAAATGTTACCTATAAAGACTTTGATGTATTCACAGAAATTATATATTTGATATTGTTCACAAATGGCTCTTAAGGGTGCATGTATTTTTGTCGTTATTTTGTGGAATGATTTGACTAACCCTTTGGTTAGTCAGTGCTGCCCTCTACTGTTAAAGCTATGCCAATATGATAAAGTAGGAAATGTTTTTCCATTTTTAAAAATGTAATAAACATTTTATACAATTGTATAGATAAGTAGTTTTTGTATTATATTACATTTCTCTTATATGTATTTTTAAATAAAGTTCCTTAATTTCACTCTGCATTTTTGTGATAAACTACAACTCAGCACTACAATGTCATTGTCCTTTGTGTTTCTGAATTGTGGTCCTTAACATTTGCCCCAAAATTAAAACACAAACTAACTATGGGTTTCTGGGCCTCTGGGTGGTGTTTTTAACTTATTCATAAGGCAAAACATTTCAGAACTCTATATATTGAGATGGGTTAATTATTAACTCACTAATTTAATTCACTATTTATTTATTTGTACTAATAAATAAAACACCTTTAAATGTACTCACTTATTGTGCTCTATACATCACAGTAATCCACTTGACTGCAGTCCATCAATTGATGTCTTAAGAAGCAAAAAGGTGTGTTTGTAATATATTTTTGGGTGAACTATTCCTTTAAATTCAAAGCTGGTGAAACCATCAGAACAGTCTTTGAATGGGTTTAGATGAGGTCATGAGAGGGAAATCATAAGTTAGTAAATCTATAGCTTTCCATTAAATCTAACACACCATGTGTCATAACAATCAGGTGCATACATGAAAAGATTTTCCAGGAAAAAAAAAATATATAATTCTTTACCTGCACATTTTCAAAAGATAACCATATTGATTTAAAAAAAAAAAAAAGAAGAACAAAAAGTCTTATTTGGATGGCTGGGATCTAGGCCGGCCCAGAATTGTAACCTTTTCGAGCCATTTTGCTACCGACAGTGTTGAATTGTTTGAGCTGCGCTGAATTTTCTGCAGATCTTCTCTTATTTAAAGGCACAATATGTAATTTTCACCGCTAGAGGGCGCGTATTCAAAATAAACAAATAGACAAAGGCGTAGTTTGATGACTCCATGACTGAGTGTGGAATCATGGGAGTTGTCGTCTTCATCCTCACAGCCGATGCAATCCGACGGGACTCGGGCAGAAATCATGTTCATGGATGAGCTAATGACTTATTAACGTAGTACAATGAAGCAGGGTGAGGCTGAAAGCCTTCGAAGCGAAACGAGGCCGCTGAACGAGCGTGACACACGGCTCGAAAACAGCAGAGCTTTTATTATGCCACAGTCGAGTGCTTCCGCTCCTTCCAGTCGTGCGTATGTGGAGAAAAAAAGCAGCGCTGTTTTATCATACTAGATACATTTGAAAGTTCTGTTATTATGCTACTCTGTGCGATCGTCACCGGTCTATTAAAACGCACAACATATTAAAGCGTCTTTGGTGTTTCCATGTTTTCTACAAAACAAAACCGGAAATCAAGGGTGTATGATGTCATTGGCAGGCGACACAATGACACTATGGACACGGTCCGTGTCACTAGTTAAAATTGCTTATTTCTCTGGATTTAAACATTCGCAACATTTGGGATAATGTAAGTACACAAGTCAGCAAAATATATAACACTGTTCTAGTGGTTTTTGGATATTTTAATAAAAAAATCTTACATATTGTGCCTTTAAGACAATGAGCAAGTGAAAGTGTACTGTTAGTGGCTTCTCTCACAATTATCCAGTTGCTCAATGTAATTTGGTAATAGCACATCCTTGTCAAAGTTGTGCCATGCTTGTTATAGTGACCTGCAAATCACAACAGCAAATCTTCTCTGATCTGCTATTTCATTCAGACGAAACCTGTGCTCTTTAGTGTTTAAGAATCTAAACACAAGTGCACTAATGCACTAAATCTAATTGGCACAACATGAGTAAAGAAAAGAAAGAATAAAAGGGTTTTATTCACCACTTCCGTCTTCACCTCCATTTTCGGCTCTTAGCCAAAAGTTTTCATTTCAGTGGATTTCATAAAAGCAAAACTTAACGGATCTCCTGTTTACCTCAAGACAAAATCTGTGCTCTTTATTTAGGATATAAACACAAGTGCAAAGTAATTCAAAAGTCATTTTCATATTTGGATTTGTTCTTTTTTTTAGTTATATAATTTGGAAGAATTTTTAAAATCTTACTGCATAGAGCACATGAAAAAATATATACGTGCACAGGGTTTATGAGAAACCTAAAAGAACCGAAAACGCCTGCAGTGCTTGCACAGCACAAATACTCCCAAGAGTAAAAAGGAACAAACACAGCTAGGAAATTTTAATTCACCACTTCCACCACTTCCTTCTTTTCCAACAGTTTAATTACTCGGCCAAAAGTCTTGTTTTCATTTGAACCTTCGAAACAGACAACAAGGTAAGCTTATCACACATATGATTTATGGTGCAAAGACAAAAAAAGTAGGTCAAGCAGTGTGTGAATTACAGGCCTATGCTGTTTTTGGGAGCTAATAGGCCTAGTATGTATTGCACAAGGGCACAAAAAGATGACTTTTATTATAATTATTATTTAATTACGTATTATTATTATTATTCAGAATTATTTATTAAAACAAATTGTAACAGATTGCCGGCTTCCCTTAAAATATGAGTGCGCCCACGCCGTCCTGCACCCCAGACAGAGATGCTGTCTCTTCGACTACACCTTTGAATGAAGACGTCAACCAAGGTGAGCACTTATTAATAACAGGACCTTGTAAATTATGTTAATAACATATGTCAGGGCTCGAAATTACCGTTTGCCCGTCACTGTATGTAATGGGAGAAACGGTCAGTCAGGAGAGTAGAGCTGCACAATTCTGGATAAATTGACAATCACGATTTTCTTTCTTTTTTCAAATAGAGATCATGATTCTGAACAGACAACTAAACAAAATAGCATGTAATTTAATAACCTAGATGTTCTGACAAAATGTTAATTGCTGCAGTCTATTTATTTCTTATTGATTTATTTTGAATTGTTTATTGCAAAATCTGCACCTCTTCTGTGGCTAATATTAATTTCATAATGATCCTTACTCCGTGAAGTCAAGCAGAAGTTAAGTGACTGTGCAAACACTACTGGCCCATTTTGGGTGAACTAAATATGCAAGATTAGTCTTACATGTCGCTGTTTATAACACAGGGTGTTCATCCTTTGCTGGGCCGATTTAAAATATATATATAGAATTTGGTATAAATTAAGAAAATGTGACTCTGGCTGTGAAAACCCAGCTAAAGTCATTTTTTGTTATTTACTACATAATTATTTTTGTGATTTTTCTACATAAAATCAACCTTCATAAGGTAAAGAACATTCTGTGAAAATGTAACCTTGATATCTTTAATATCGACTGAGTAAAGCCATGTCAAAGATTGAAATCATAGTGAAATTAATGGTCGAAATCAAACTTTGATGCTTATCTCATAACTAGATTTTGAGACTTTAGCCTGGATTTCACAGAGAGGGTCACATATGTAAGTGCTGTGACAAGTCCCGTTTAGACTAACGCAGTACACATATTGAAATCAAACTTTGATGCTTGTTATCTCATAATTAGATTTTGAGACTTTAGCCTGGATTTCACAGAGAAGGTCACATATACCCACTTCCAGGCACCATTACACCTCATATCCATATAACGTTAAAGGGGTCATATGATGCTGCTAAAAAGAACATTATTTTGTGTATTTGGTGTAATGAAATGTGTTTATGCGGTTTAAGGTTCAAAAAACATTATTTTCCACATACTGTACATTATTGTTTCTCCTCTATGCCCTGCCTTTCTGAAACGCGTCGATTTTTACAAAGCTCATCGTTCTGAAAAGCGAGGACTGCTGTGATTGGCCAGCTATTCCAAGAGCTTGTAACACTTCAAAGAGAGAGGAAAAATTTTAATCGCATCATATGACCCCTTTAATTAACTTGGGTCCTTGGGTCAAATAAAAAGGAACCAGCATCAGACCAGTCTCTCATATCCATATAGTTACTTTGCTTGGGTCAAATAAAAAAGGAACCAACATCAGATCACAATCTTTTGACGAGTAACCTGTAAAACAGATGAGCCAAGTCTTACTAGAGTTACTTTACATCTGTAAATTTTGTAAAGTATTTTAAATTGTAGCCTACATCTTACTGCCTGATAATACAAGCCTGCAGCAGCGCCGCACCCAGAAAGCTAGAAAGCAGGGTTGCCAGGTTTTCACAACAAAACCCTCCCAATTGCTACTCAAAAGTATCCCAATCGCTTCGAGGGGATCCCCCATTAAAAATCGCGTTCCGGTTTGGGTTGGGTTTCCCCGGTCAAATTCGCATTTCAGGGGCTAAATATCGCGTTATTGGGGTCGCTTCAACCCGCGAACATGAAAAACAACCCACGGCAACACTGCAGCCCAATTCCGCGGGAAAACCGCGGACTTGGCAACACTGCCAGGAAGTGACGTTGAGTTACGCGCGCATCTACGTGTAGTGTGTGTGAGTACTGACTTTCACCGGTGCTTTGGGGAACGAGCGCGTGGTGAACATAAAAGAAACAAATTCGCATTTACAAGTACTGATAACGAAACGCACACAGGAGGGAAAAATAATTTAAAAGAGCACTTTTCTCATTTAAAAGTAAGTACTTTGCGTTTCAGTAAGCCACTACGTTTTAGCTTTTATGAATTAGCAGGATGGCCTGCAATGTGACAGCTCAATGATAACGTCACGCTGTCAATGAACTTAATGCCATGCTTTGGGTTAATAAGTTGATTGCTGTTTAAGGCGGATTTGCTCTAATGGTAAAATGAGCAATATGCACATTACTTATGTGGTTAAATCTAAAAAGATCCATTGACAGTCACCTTGCAGATAATTTCAGTTAAATTCCGATAAGTTCAGTTTTATGTAATATGAATGTCTAGCTTGGCATGACATAATCTGAATTGAGTGTTATTTGTGCTAGTGTTTGTATGAATTATTTCTCTAGAAAAAAAAAAAAACCGGGTTAGGAGGAATTAGATGATTTCGCCACGTGCGTGTGAACAGGAAGTGCTAAAGATCTCTGACCTTCAAGTGTTCTCTAAAGAGTCCGGAATAAATATTTTTGCTTTCTATTGATATATCAACTTATTAGATACTTTACAGATAAGAAATAAAAATATTTATATTGTAATTTGTCCTTGCTGCGTTACAACATGTAACTTCCTTGTAAGTAACCTTGTGTTCTCGAGATAAGAATAACATTGATATAGTTATTTTGTTCTCGGTGTTCTGCAAGAAGTGGTTTATAACCTGATTTACAATGGAAATCATTATGGACCAGCTTCCATATCAGAGTCTGATGCTGGTTGTGACTCTCACATGGTCTTCATCAGTCACAGCACACCCTCCACTTTAGTGTGAAGCTCTCTGGGTATTTGACCATGTGCTTAGGGAAAAGATCTTCATTCATCCTTGTTTAATAGAGCTTGAACTGCATTTATGCTTGCAGGGCTCAACAATAAGGTGTTTTTTCCCCCCTAGTCACTGGGGCCGACATATCGATATCACATATCCAACAAAGTACTTTTTGCTTTATCTCAGCATCCGCCCTGTTATTAGATACCTTTGCTTGCAGAATAAATGAATCAGGGCTGACTTTGCATTTAAAAAGTTTGGAATTTCAGGTTTTTGTATTTGATTTCAAACTTATTTGTGTGTAATTGCTTTCCTCTACAAGGTTGTTTTGTTGAAACAGGATGAATGCTGGTTTGTGTTCAACAACCTTCAAGTATCATCACAGACAGATCAGGCGTCATCAACGACACAATCTAAAATAAGGAAACGGTTGCTTTAGGTGTCCATTCTTCTCAAATCGTTTTATTTATTCAGAATGTCCTGACTCATTCATTATTGTTTAAGCAAGTCTTAACTGACAAACTGTCCAGTGAATCCGCATGTCATTGTAGTGTTGCGAGACTGAAAATGCCGCCAATTGTTCTGTTAGGTTGTTAAATTAGTAGGAAGTTGCTAATCTAACCACACAAACACTTCCTGTAACGCAAGACCGTTTTTGTAATTCAAACTTTAGCTTGAATTACAAAAAGGATGTAATAAACCTCAAAGTGGCATTATGAGGAATTATGAAAACGTGTGTTTTGTTTTTCCCCGTTTTTATTTTGCTAACTTTCTTTGGTTAGTGTAAATAGTTTAGTAGGCCACTAGATTTAAAGTACACAGTATTTCACAATTAGTAAATGTTTGTGGTGCACATGTTGCCTTATCAACATTATATAATCTCCATATTGATTCTTATCAATGCTTTAACTAGCTGTGGAGCCCCGCGGTAGAGGGTGGCTCTGGCTTTTGGATGGTGTTCAACGAATCAAAAGACTACCTCTTTTTTTTCAGTGGATAAAAACATTTTTGGACTTTGAACAAGGAGGGCTGTGTTTATGAATTCAGAGACTTCAAAAAGAGCACTTCGACTGAGTAGGAGCTTGTGAGAAACTTTGTGTTGCTAAAGATATTTTATATCTCTTTCGTTTCAGATTCCATGGCAGGAACAATTGATCAGGCCAAAATGAAGTTTTCGAGAATAGTAAGTGCTGTTTTTGACAAACTTGTTGTTTTTAAAATGTTATATTTTAAGTATTTTAATACTTTACTGTATATATTTCTCTGGAATTTGGAGCCTCTTTTTTTCCCCTCTGATAATAGGTAAACAGTCGCTCGTACACCCGGTTCAATCAATCTCAGAATCCTGATGGAGAGAGCAGCCGTGTGGAGGTGAAGCTTGCTGTGGATGGTGAGGAGGAAATGGATGGAATAGAACAAGAACAAGAACACGTGCAACGTGACACGTACACAAGATCCAGTCGTTCTGGGCCATGGAACAAGTGGAGGTTTCTGGTTTGGGTGGGTGGAGTGCTGGTCATCTTCTGTGTAGGTGAGTGTCTTTGCAGTTTATTTTTTTATTTTTTTACTGTATCTGACTGAATATGCAGTCATTATTATGTATTAATGGACCCTTTGACATCCATTTAAGTTTGTCCCAAATTCTGCTTTATTTCTTTCTATTTTCACATTTAAATAGCAGTCCTTTTTCCTTTTCTGTGTCACAGTTTGATTACATTTATTCAAATTTTGCCAAATTCTGTGACATTCTACATCATACAGTGAATTCCATTTTATTACAGGATTCTGCGATTGGAAATCATAGGGCCATGTAAATATTAAGAAATTAAAATTGAAATATTGATATGACTAGAAATTATTTTATGTTAGAAGAGATATTAAATTGGTTGCCTGGGACAGTGGTCAGTTCAAAGCCCCTGTGAGTGATCAAATAAAATCAAGTGTTTCAATGAGCCATGTAATAAGTTGTTTTTAGGAGATGTTATCAGTTTCTAGTGCTCATGTGAGAAACCACACAGTTTTCCCTCTACTTTTTCCCTGTCCAAGGTTTACTCATTGGATACTCTGTCCACCGCAAGTCTGAGTCTGCTTCCTGCTCTCCGGGAGATGGTGTGATCAAGCATGACCCTGAAGATCCACCTAATCAAGAATTTCCACCAAATGATCCACCTCCTTTGGATTGGAGTGAACTTGTTGGACTTCTGAATGATAAACTGTCATCTAAAGTCATTGCAGATAAATTAAGGTAACTGTAAGTCATTGAATATTATTGCTCTTGTGAGCATTATTGGTTTTAACGTTAAAACAATTGTGATGACGTAACTTTAAATATGCATTTCTGTCATTGAACTTCGCTGACTTTCTGTTCCTCTTCCATTAAGCGAGTATTCCCAGGTTGTCCGTAAAGCAGGATCATCTGCAGATAACAAGTTAGCTGATGATATCCATGATATTTTCACGCAACTGAATATGGACCCCTGGGTTGATGAACACTATGTGAAGCTACAGTTTCCTAACAGGTCAGTATCAGCTACATTACAGCAAAATAAAACCTCTCAAAACACCACAGTAACTGCATAGCAGCACTCTAGAACACTGCACAGCCACATGCTAACATATACCTAACACTCTAAAAACATCTCTGAATACAATAAATACTGTATAGCAGCATGCAAATAAGTGTATAACACTCTAAAAATAATAACACTCCTAATAAAAGGCATTAAAAAGTCTCAAAATGTCTTAAATTCAGATTCGATGGGTCTTAAATATTTTTGGTCACATTACTGCTAAAATATCTTAAGTCTGACGTAGGGCTGTGCAATTAATCGCATGCGATTGTCACGCGCATCTCGTCAGTAAAGCCGGTCCCGTGATCAGTAGTAAATCTCCATCACCTGCTTTCAGATTGAGCGGCATTCACTACACAGAGCCGTAGTTCACTGACAATTAGGCAATATCGCGTTAATAATCGCAGATGAATCGCATTTGTTTATGAACGTGATATCGCCTAGCTTGTCAGTGAACTATGGCTCTGTGTAGTGAATGCCGCTCAATTTGAAAGCAGGTGATGGCGATTTACTACCAATCACGGAACCGGCTTTACTGACAAGATGTACATGACAATCGCATGCGATTTAACGCGAATGCGAATTAACTAGCACAGCCCTAGTCTGACGGACCTAATGACCGTTTACAATCATTGGACAGACCGAAGATTTTTTTTTACTCCCCCGTGGTAAGTTACTGCATCATCAGAGAGAATCGCAGTAGCAGAATACAGGTCGAACTAACTTCTTAATGTTCTCAAAAAAATATATAAAATAGGTAGAGCTACAGCTGATCAGCCTTCTAGCTAGTTTAAAATGTTTTTTTTTTTTTACTTGCCCGACCGGACAAATAGCCTGATTAAAACATAAGTGACAAAAAAAAAAAACAGCGAAGCATTGAAACGCGAGAATGATTCTTCTAATTTTATTAGCCTACATTCAATGTAAACAGTGTATTTCTGGTATCAAGGTCGCGCTGTTGAAGCTCACTCTGTTTGTCTCTTTTTGAGGGAACAAATGAGCGTTAACAGCACACATAAAGAAACACACGGAGTTAAACATTCTAAATGTTTAGTTTATTCATAACATGATATAGTTAAGTAACATACCATGACAAGTGAGCTATTTTGCTGAATATTCTCACGACGCAAAAAAACATTCAAAACACCTACAGTGCACACGCATTACGTGAAGTCTAGTGCGCTCTTTCACTGCATGATTCAGTCTATTAAAATACATTCAGAATGATCACAAATTCAAGACATGGGGGCA